GTGTTGACGGACCACCATCGTGTTTACGAAAACTCTTTTCTCGTTACAGGCCATGTTCGTGTAACCATTTCCATCGTAACGCGATGTAGTTGTTTCGAAAAAAAAAAAAATTTGACACCGCTCGATACACATCACGTGCTTAAACAAAAAACGAGCCTTATATAAAAAAGATTTTATTTCGTTCCATTCAGACATCGCCAATAGACGGTTCGATCAATTTCACTTCGAGTATGACGTGAAACAACGTTGATGCTCGCGAGAAAACAATCAAATGCATTCACGGGATATGCAAAATCTGCATTGAATCGGCACCGATCGTAACACCTCGATATTTGCGCCAGCAAATTCGGACTCGAGCGAATCGAAAACGGAGATAGGCTCGCACTCGCGAAAATATTCGACGGGACAGATACGAATACGATTTTTTTTTGATGATACATCGTGATAAACGATGTACATTTTTTTCGGCCGGGAAAGAAGGGGACGAACAGTTCCTGTGGCACCTTCGCCACGGACAGAAACAAATTTCGCCTAGTCGACAGAACAGCCCGTTCTCTTCGCAGTTATGCGTATCCTCTTTTTCCTCTCTCTGGCTAGTTTCCGGTTCCTCTTTTTCCTCTCTCATTTTTTTCCGTCTCGTTTTCTCAGTCTAAAATACTATATGTCTATCAAATAGATCAAATGACATATACGAGTATTTCCCTTTTCTAAAACTACAAATAATAATTCATATATTTAACTATGGTAAGTGCAAAAAATTTTCATATAGGAGAGATATCTTTAAAAAAAAAAATCTTATTTTTAGAAAGTAAACGTTATATAATTTATTAACAAAGAATAAAAGATTGTATTTTTTCTAAAAATATTTTATCTAAAAAGTAATAATTAAAATATTACCTTAATAAAATAAGCAAAAATAAAAAATTGTATATTGTAATATTTGGACATACAAAAAGTATTTGTACAGTCGAGAAATTTAATTTTTAAGTTTCATAAACACACGGTTATTTTTGCGAAGTTGTTTTGTTTATATTAAAACATGGTCATAATCTAAATTTTTAGATACTTCAGCAAAATTATTCTTTCCATGTAGAAATTTAATGAGTTGCTTACAACTCAACTTGAGGGAAAAAATGCATAATGTACGGTATGCAGCGAATACAAAAAATATTCGTACAGAGAAGGTTTTTTGATAAGAAAGGTCTTATTTAAAAAATAAACATTAATTAGCAATTTATTAAAAATTAGTATCTTCTGAGTATTACTCTACGTATTATAGAACTGTTCAGAATTATTCGGAATGGAATCTGAGCAGAATTATTCAGTTATTTTCTAAATTATATTTTCTATGATATAATTTCCGATTGGAATTCACATTCTGAAGAATTCTATAATATGTTGCAGAACATATTTATTATTAATAAATTGTTAGTTAATAGTTTTTTTACAAATAAATTTTTTTAAAATTAAAATCTTCCTTGTACGAATGTTTTTTGCACGTTAACTATGTATTACATTATTATTATTATTTTTTATTAATTTGAGTTGCAGGTAACTTGGTTGAATTTTTGAATCGAAAAAGCTTTGCTAAAGTATTTGAAAATTTAGCTAGATACAGACCTAAAAATAATTTTGTTGGACCATCAAAGTAATTGCGTAGAGTGTTTAAATTAATTGTTAGAATGTCGAAACTTTTTCGACCATGCTTTATCATACTTTCCTACGTAATTATTGTGATGGTCCAACAAAATTATTTTCAGATCTAGTTAAATTTTTAGATACTTTAGCAAAATCATTTTTTGTGTGTGTCAAAATAATTATGTAGGGTGCTCAGGTGGTTGTTAAAATGTCAAATCTTATAGTATTGCTCATCGTACTTGAATATTCTAAGGTAGACCGAATAAATTCATCACAGGGCGAATTGGATTAATGTAAATTTTTGGACAGTTAGTCAAGACATTTGTCGTTAATTTTATTATTTCTTTGTTTCAAAAACATTTCGATAGGCCAATAAAATTATTTTCAGTTCTGTACTTAACTTTTTCTCTTACTTAGATATCTCAATAAAACGGTTCTTTTCGTGTGATACAATTCTTATTGTTATTACAGTATAAAAGAATCTCTATAAAAGATATACTTGGAATTAATGCAAAAGCGACATCGAGATATCGAAACTTAATGTTTAAATGAAGAACAAAGTTATTTCCGAAGTCGTCCCCGGACATTCACTGTTTTGCAGATTTACAACCTCACCGTCCAATCTATGATATGGCAGTTTCGTCTGCTCGATAGGTATACAGTGCTTTATCCTGGACATGTCTCGTCACTCGCGGGTGATTTACGTGGCCCGGTCAAGAATCGAAAGCCGCGAGCGATAGCAGAATTGCGGACGCGTTATTTTTTCGAGGGAGCCTATTCATCGGCACCTGTCGTGCTGAAACCGGCTTTCACTGTTGTCGTGGAAAAAGAAAAAGGGACGCGTTCGTATGGCGCGACCATTTAATCGATCTCGCGAACCGCGAACGGAGGTGTTTGGCGAAGATAAATTTCAACGTTGATCGATTCTTGGCAGTGCGATAACGGCCACCGGCGATAATGCCGTTTCCCTTCCGTGGCCTCGACAAAATCGAGCATCGTGCCGATTTATTTGTGGGTGAATTTTATTCGAGTTGCTGAATCGGGCAAATTAGTGTCGCCCGATGCCGTTTCAGCGAGAGGAAAACTTGATAAGCGCGCAGGCGGCCGCGTATTTTATGTGATTCGCGTATGAATTATAATGCACATAATTAAACGGTTAATTGAAACATACAGATTTAATGGCGGCAGGGAGCAGTGGAAAATCATCGCGAACGAAATCAGTGTAAGTGTGTTATCGTAAAATATCCGGCTGGCCATGCACGGCTTTTATCACTTAATTGCCTATTAATGTCAAAATTATTAAAATCGTACGAAAGATGCATGCATTAGTGGTATATTTTTTGAATAAATTGCATCGAATTTTTGTTTTAATTATTTATCAATGTAATGAATAATATACAACAAAAACGAAATAATCTCCTTATTTTTTTTAATCTTCTATAAATCACTGCGTATTAAATAATAACAGAGATACGTATTATGTTGCGAATTGCTTCGAAAATATACAATAATATTTAACGTAATCCGCAGACTATATTTTTTTGTCGCAAACAAAAGAATTGTATAAACATTGTGAGCAAGTTGTTATTGAAAGAAAATAAATCCCACGTTTTTAGCGAACGTTGTGATAATACAGCATTGATAGATATTACAAAATATGGAAAAATATTGTGGAACATATGTTGTTTAACATCATTATATGCATAGAGCAACGAAATGGCCGAATGCGTATATAATTAAAAAGGATATTTGGGTGGGAGAGCATTCAAGACACGAATTAATGGCGCGAGGATGTGTGGAACGGTCGGCGGCGCAAAACCAGTGGACAACTATTTTACAATAAAACAGCACACCACACATGCGGGCGAAATAGTTTATCGCGCGCAGGTATACATAAATATTCCATAATGACATATATTGTTAGCGGTAACTCAAACAGGCAAGCGGGAATCTCTATTGGCAAATCGTGAATTAATGAGATGCCAGGATATAGGATTTTATATTTATAACTTACCGCGAGAATATTACCGCGTGATTACCGATTTATAGTAAAAGGATTAGATAGGACAGGATCAAATCCATTAAAAGTGACTTTGTAAGCTATTTTTAATTAATTTACAAGATTCACGTAATTTTTTATAATGGATATATTTAATCCTCCATCGGTCAAGTTACATTTTAAAGGCATAGTCGATATATTGATTGTAAATTTTGTTACATAAATTTAAATCTGTAAAAAGTAAATAAAATACAATCCGATTGTTATGATAGTAAAAACTTATTAAAATGTTCATAAGTATGCAAGATTTTTTTCAAATATTTATACAGTTTGAAATAATATAAAAATCTACATTGAAGTTTGAAGATCTAGGCTGGAAGATGCAAAATTCCATATGGCCGATTGAGAAGTAAATAATGTAAATGTAGAAAGAAGTTATAAGCATGTGCATTTTGTCGAATAAAGTCTAATAGAAATTTACTTATTGCAGGTGCAAAAGTTTTAATGTATTTTATGTCGATTGATGATGACATATGTAATTTATAGTGGATACTAATCCACAGATTTTAACACAAATAGTTGCTGAAAAGTTGAAAATTAATAGACGAGCTTTTGAGATATTAAACAAGTAATAAATAAAAAAAAACGGACAATTAAGAATTTTAATACGTGATAATCGATGCGATTATCTTATAAACATATATTTTAATTGTAAATCTTACATAACTATAAAAACTAAACGTTTTGGCTCAATTCGAATCATCCTCAACAGTATCAAATAATAATAAATGAAAATATTGAATTTTAAAAGAATAATAACCTCCAAGAAGGAAGATTTAGTGTTATGAAAGATCTTGTCTTTTAAAGATTTTCAGAGTTGCTGAATTCTATTTTAGTCTTAGGATTCTAAAATACTAATTAAAAATAATAATAATTTAATTAGTAAAACTCGGTTTTAGATTTTTAATGTTTCTGAGATTGAATGTAGTCTAAAATATCGAATTTTAAAAGAATAGTAATCTTTATGAAGGAGGATCCAACGTCACAGAATTCATAATCAAAGTTTGAAAGTCAGTTTGAAATTAATACTAAATGCTTAGGTTCAAATAAAACGAAACTGGAAATTTAATGTTATTTTTTAATTAAAAACTTCTTAAAACCCAGTTTTATGTTAATCAAACTTTTTTTTTTAATTATAGCCGTCATAGTGAATCCAACATTTTGAATTTTGTATTTTTCATCTCAGATTCGAATAAAGTAGTTTATAAAATGAAAAGAGATGTGAATCCAGACGCGCGGGGTTGCCATAAAGGATTATGTCCATTATTGTCCATAAAGGATTATGAAAGAAATGCATACTTACAAATCACCGTTAGATTGGCAGTTTGATAAGTAGTGGCGAAAGACGGCGCCTCGGTGGAGACTTCGCATTTGTATTGACCGGAGCTCTCCAGGGCGAGGTTCTTCAATCTTAACCATCGCTGCTCGCTATTCGCTTTCGTCTGTGGACAGAAAGAATAGCGAGGTATTTGCTTTGCTAATGGAGGAATTTTGTTTTGGGACGTGATGTTGTCGTGTAACGACGGATCTGGACTCTGAAGTTAGGGCTTTACTTACGCAATTGTGTACGTGTACTTTGCGTCTGCCCGATATTACACCCGAGACAATCAACGTTTGATTGTATTGGGCGAAGTAATGGAATTTCCGAAGATAACGCGGAATCCAATTTTTCGAATCTCGAGAATGTTACAGTAGTCACTGAGACGCATCTTCAATAGTTTAATGTAAAGTTTGTACACTGTTAAATTCATAAATTATATATTTAATTAGATTATTTTATTTAATTCGAGCCACTAAATAAGATAAAAAATTATATAGGATTCCCAAGTTTTAACAAATTTAAGAAACGTACAAGATGGAACATGGAAATTAGCGCGGAAGTTACGCAAAATTGTTATTTAAAAATATTTTTGCTCATTATATTTTTGCAAAATTATTTTTGCTTAGATTTAGAAGTATACCATGTACTAGCTTTCGAGTTATCTACAGAATAAAAAAAAATACAAATTATGGTTACATAATCTCATATTTCTGCGAGGGTGCGACAATCATGGAGCATGAGTTACGATGTAAAAAGACCAGGTGTAATATTGCGCATAATAGCTAAATAATTTGAGACAAATTTTTGATTAGTACTAAATTCCTAATAGCGGTTTTGTATTTGCTTCAAAATCTTAACTCCTGTCTAATCAATGTCATGTCCGCAATGCATCTTAGTCTGTTATTATCTGGTTGGTTATTACCGAAGGGATAGAAGTTTCCCTCCCAATATGATTACATATTCTGATATTCGTGTTCTTAACTGCCGATCAGTTTGACCTACATAAGATGCATCACAGTCTTTATATGAAATTCTGTAGACGACATTTCTCTGTGAATTGCTTGATAGTAGATCCTTCTGGATTTTAATCAAACGGCAGATTTTATTCATGCTATAAAAGGAAATTTTTGGATGAATATTATTAATAATTCTTTCACATTTATTCCAAATTGTATTTACAAAAGGAATTGTAAACATGAGAAATTTATTAGTATCTGAGACCGATTTATCATTAATTTTGATGGTATTGTTTTTTTTATTAGGGATTTTAATCTTTAAAACATATTGAAATTAAAATAAATAATCATTATTCAATAAAATTTTAATAATTACGTCAAAAATTTTTTTATAAAACTTCGGATTTGAGAGGAAAAAGACTCTATTGTTTATGGTCATAGCCAATCTCTTTTTTGCAAAACTGGATGCCGAGACAAATAATTCAGGTATCTCCCTACAAAAATTGATTTTTGATAACAATCAAATTTTGGATTAAGTTGATAGTTTTTGGAAAATCCTGTTATTTCTCACCTCCATTATGAATTATAATCTTAGGTGTACAGACTTTAAATAATAAAAAAAAATATATATATGTTGAAGCGACGAAAATTATCCCAATAATATTATCCACATATAATGTAAAACAGTAGGGAGGCCCTCTAATAAGCCTCTTTTTAAATCCTGCGACAACTATCAGCGACAACAAGCGATAAAAGGGAGACTATTGGATTCCAATTTACTTATAAATTTCGTTATCAAAGGTGAAAAAAATAGATTTGAGAACAAATGGCACTCATAAATTTATCTTTAGAAATATTATAATAGTTCAGAAATAAAATTCATATCTAGTAGAATATTAGATATATTTTTTATAGCCAAATTTATTGGGATGTTAGTAAAGAGTGAAATTGTATCTAAAGAAATCAAATGAATCAAAGTGCTTACACTTCTCCATTTCTCAAAACCTACGGACGTACGGTTTACATGGCTGCCTGCGACCATTGTTCGAACAGTAATGCATTTTGCAGCTGGTTGTTGACAGGGTTAATTAGACTACCGCGTGTCTCTATCTGTCACGTAAACCAGTACTCGAAGAGTCGTGTCCCTGCAATCGGAATGGTGGCCAGCATGGCGTTGTCTTCGCGGACAATGTGCAACGACCGTTCTCCACGTGCAACTTCATTGATAGTCCTAGTGGGGTGGAAGGCGTGGGAACGTTTGCGGCTTATCGATAATTCATGGCCCGTTATCGGAGCCCGAGACACGGTCTCGGTTGCTCTCGCATTAGGTTCGATTAGATACATCCGTAGTCCAATTAGCTCTCCGCGATATGCGACTAGACGGGCGCGACGACGCAGGGAACCCCTTTCCTTGTCCCGTCATTCAGTGTCTAGGAAATCGAACGTTCGTATCGATCGTCGAATGCTAACTCGATCAATACCGGAAATGTCGTGCACTACGATATGCCAATATTCGCTGCCGATTTGCGACGTCGCGTCGATCATTTGACATCGATCCATCCATTGGATTATGAATATTTAATTCCGCAGTGTGCACTGAAAATCTAATTAATTTTTAATTCTAAAATCTTCATTTAGAACCATTGTGGCGAGCTCGAATTTGATCACGATATAGTAATAACGTTATCTAAATTTCATTAAAATAATTGAAGATTAAATCTAACTATAAAATCGAATTCTCCCAATTTCAACAGAATTATAAATCAATTAATTTAATTATAAATATGTTTTTGGATGATAGAAATTAACAATGAATTAAGGGATCATTATGCTGGTATATTTTTAGATTCTGTGTATATGAGTGCACTGCAGAGAGTGGTAACAGCTACCAAATATTAAGTGAAATGTTTAATTAATATAATAAAAAAATGTTCGATTACAATAAAAAATAATTTTATGGCAAATTCGATTAGAAGCACTAGTATGCACTGATGCATACTAAAGCCATTGTACAATGATTTAATTTGAGTATAAAAGTGAAATGTAATACTTTGAATTATAAAATATATATTTTACCTAATAATATAATACAATAAAAGATATGAGTATTTCTGTATTTAATCGATTTCTATGTTTATGTATAAACATCTTTATATTATTTTGTGTACGACGACTTTAGTGCGCACTGAGTGCGTCCAATCAAATTTGCTATTAGTCCCTTTAATATTTAGTAAGTATTATCAAACATAATAATATAACCAACTGTTTGACAAAATAATTTTGCTTTTCTAATATTTAGTAAATATTATTACTAAACATAATAGTACGATCGATCATTTGTAATACTTACTAAATTTATAGGAAAGTAAATTTATTTTCAGTTATATTAACCGAACATTTGATTGGCATTATTTCACTCAACATTTGGTAGCTGTTACCATATTTTTTTTTTAATATGTATACAACGGTGGTCAAAGCTTTTGACTAATATATAATTTTTCGATCATTATTGTCTATAAAATGAATATTCAATTTATTTTTTAGTTTAAATTATAAGTTAATGAAATTTTTGTTATATTCTCTCTCTCAATTTAAGAATTTAGTTTAAGAATATTTTAAATACTAGACCAAGTACTAGATTATCTTAAAGTACTTGTATATTAGATTTTTATTTATAAAGATTCTTTATCTAAGCAATACAATAAAATTACTCATTGATCGAAAACGTTTGGCAGCCATTATATATTTGATGTTTGTATCGCAATTTTAAGTTTCTCCATTGAGGTTGACTCGAAATATTTTTTGCTTGGAGGAAAGTGGATTTTATCGGTTGCTTTCAATATCATCGTTGAGACGATCGCGCGGAGCGATGCCGCACCTGGCTCGCTGCTGCACGTCCGATAAAAGCCCGTCTCTTTCGTAATTTCCGGCTACATTAACGGCATCTCCGGCGCGGCGGTCGCCTCGTCGATCTTCTGATATTCTGATAATCCACGTGATCTCAGACGCCGAAGAAAATTGCCGTTGGTAGTGACAGGCAGTCTCCATCCACGATCGACAATCCGGACTCGCGGTGATGGCTAATTAAAGTAAATTAGGAATTTCAGCCCGTTCGCTATGTTCAGGAGATAGGAAACTCTTTAATCAATTTAATATCTACATGCATATATATTTTCACATTATATATGAAACTTTTTATATTTGATCGCAATTTATGCAATAAAGCAATTTATTGCTCCATTACATAAATCATTAGTTTTTAATAGATTTTATAATTTGGAGGTAGAAAATAGCCAGGAGCTCGTATAATTATTATCTTTTACAGACGTTTTTTTAAAAGTATATTTGCACGAACAAGTATAAGTCGTTGTCTAAATTCCACTCGGCGAACTTCCTGCTTCACGTTTACGAGAGACGCCTAACGCGCGCAAAAGTTTCGAAGTTGCATAATGCGCGTCCCGATGACACGACAGGATAGATTACGCTCGTAAACCGTTGTGGAAGGAATGCATTACGGTCGTGGGAATCGAGAGGAAGGAACATTTCCACAGGATGACGTTGATATTTATCGGTTCTTTTAATTCCAAGTTGTTAAACTGTTGCGTATGAACGCATTCAACGAAGATTGTCGGTCATAAACTAGTGGTGCTTTATTTAATGATGAGAAATACTCAAAGTTCCTGGATCGTTTGCGAAAGTAGCACTCGTGAAAGATTCAGGCATCTCTTTAATAAACAGAAATTTTCATGTCTGAAGTGGTTAGAGATATGGCTTTTTCTTAATGTGAATCCTTGCTCGCGCGCGCGCGTTTCTCTTTCCTTCCAAGGAAGCATCAAGAAACGTATCGCCCTCTCGGATAAAATCTTCTCGGATAAAAGTGTAGCGCGTACATACGCATCGCTGTAACGACTCGGCCAAAATGCCTCGGCGTTACGAGCGTAAGATGTAATATCTCAAAATGTGCGGTGGAGCTTACATGGAGAGAGTAGCGGATTTTAAACTATGCGCGTCGCGATGTCGCGATGACTCGCGTCTTCTGGCACTGTAGGTCGTAAGAAAAGCAAGGAAAAAAATATAAAAATAAAAAAGAGAAATAACGAGGCCGATGGGGACTTGCCGGCGTAATTTTCTCGAGGTAATAAACTAAAAGCATCTCTCCCCGGCT